TAACTACCTCCCACAGGATGGGTCTGGGGTAACTACCTCCCACAGGATGGGTCTGGGGTAACTACCTCCCACAGGATGTGTCTGGGGTAACCACCTCCCACAGGATGGATCTGGGGTAACTACCTCCCACAGGATGGGTCTGGGGTAACTACCTCCCACAGGATGGGTCTGGGGTAACTACCTCCCACAGGATGGGTCTGGGGTAACTACCTCCCACAGGATGGATCTGGGGTAACTACCTCCCACAGGATGGGTCTGGGGTAACTACCTCCCACAGGATGGGTCTGGGGTAACTACCTCCCACAGGATAGGTCTGGGGTAACCACCTCCCACAGGATGGGTCTGGGGTAACTACCTCCCACAGGATGGGTCTGGGGTAACTACCTCCCACAGGATGTGTCTGGGGTAACTACCTCCCACAGGATGTGTCTGGGGTAACTACCTCCCACAGGATGTGTCTGGGGTAACTACCTCCCACAGGATGTGTCTGGGGTAACTACCTCCCACAGGATGTGTCTGGGGTAACTACCTCCCACAGGATGAGTCTGGGGTAACTACCTCCCACAGGATGTGTGTGGGGTAACTACCTCCCACAGGATGTGTCTGGGGTAACTACCTCCCACAGGATGTGTCTGGGGTAACTACCTCCCACAGGATGTGTCTGGGGTAACTACCTCCCACAGGATGGGTCTGGGTAACTACCTCCCACAGGATGGGTCTGGGGTAACTACCTCCCACAGGATGTGTCTGGGGTAACTACCTCCCACAGGATGAGTCTGGGGTAACTACCTCCCACAGGATGTGTCTGGGGTAACTACCTCCCACAGGATGGGTCTGGGGTAACTACCTCCCACAGGATGGGTCTGGGGTAACTACCTCCCACAGGATGTGTCTGGGGTAACCACCTCCCACAGGATGGATCTGGGGTAACTACCTCCCACAGGATGGGTCTGGGGTAACTACCTCCCACAGGATGGGTCTGGGGTAACTACCTCCCACAGGATGGGTCTGGGGTAACTACCTCCCACAGGATGGATCTGGGGTAACTACCTCCCACAGGATGGGTCTGGGGTAACTACCTCCCACAGGATGGGTCTGGGGTAACTACCTCCCACAGGATGGGTCTGGGGTAACCACCTCCCACAGGATGGGTCTGGGGTAACTACCTCCCACAGGATGGGTCTGGGGTAACCACCTCCCACAGGATGGGTCTGGGGTAACTACCTCCCACAGGATGTGTCTGGGGTAACTACCTCCCACAGGATGTGTCTGGGGTAACTACCTCCCACAGGATGTGTCTGGGGTAACTACCTCCCACAGGATGGGTCTGGGGTAACCACCTCCCACAGGATGGGTCTGGGGTAACTACCTCCCACAGGATGGGTCTGGGGTAACCACCTCCCACAGGATGGGTCTGGGGTAACCACCTCCCACAGGATGGGTCTGGGGTAACCACCTCCCACAGGATGGGTCTGGGGTAACCACCTCCCACAGGATGGGTCTGGGGTAACTACCTCCCACAGGATGGGTCTGGGGTAACTACCTCCCACAGGATGTGTCTGGGGTAACTACCTCCCACAGGATGTGTCTGGGGTAACTACCTCCCACAGGATGGGTCTGGGGTAACCACCTCCCACAGGATGGGTCTGGGGTAACCACCTCCCACAGGATGGGTCTGGGGTAACTACCTCCCACAGGATGTGTCTGGGGTAACTACCTCCCACAGATGTGTCTGGGTAACTACCTCCCACAGGATGGGTCTGGGGTAACCACCTCCCACAGGATGGGTCTGGGGTAACCACCTCCCACAGGATGGGTCTGGGGTAACTACCTCCCACAGGATGTGTCTGGGGTAACTACCTCCCACAGGATGGGTCTGGGGTAACCACCTCCCACAGGATGGGTCTGGGGTAACCACCTCCCACAGGATGGGTCTGGGGTAACTACCTCCCACAGGATGGGTCTGGGGTAACTACCTCCTACAGGATGGGTCTGGGGTAACTACCTCCCACAGGATGGGTCTGGGGTAACTACCTCCCACAGGATGGGTCTGGGGTAACCACCTCCCACAGGATGGGTCTGGGGTAACTACCTCCCACAGGATGGGTCTGGGGTAACTACCTCCCACAGGATGGGTCTGGGGTAACTACCTCCCACAGGATGGGTCTGGGGTAACTACCTCCCACAGGATGGGTCTGGGGTAACTACCTCCCACAGGATGGGTCTGGGGTAACTACCTCCCACAGGATGGGTCTGGGGTAACTACCTCCCACAGGATGGGTCTGGGGTAACTACCTCCCACAGGATGGGTCTGGGGTAACTACCTCCCACAGGATGGGTCTGGGGTAACTACCTCCCACAGGATGTGTCTGGGGTAACTACCTCCCACAGGATGGGTCTGGGGTAACTACCTCCCACAGGATGGGTCTGGGGTAACTACCTCCCACAGGATGGGTCTGGGGTAACTACCTCCCACAGGATGTGTCTGGGGTAACTACCTCCCACAGGATGGGTCTGGGGTAACTACCTCCCACAGGATGGGTCTGGGGTAACTACCTCCCACAGGATGGGTCTGGGGTAACTACCTCCCACAGGATGGGTCTGGGGTAACTACCTCCCACAGGATGGGTCTGGGGTAACTACCTCCCACAGGATGGGTCTGGGGTAACTACCTCCCACAGGATGGATCTGGGGTAACTACCTCCCACAGGATGGATCTGGGGTAACTACCTCCCACAGGATGGGTCTGGGGTAACCACTTCCCACAGGATGGGTCTGGGGTAACTACCTCCCACAGGATGGGTCTGGGGTAACCACCTCCCACAGGATGGGTCTGGGGTAACCACCTCCCACAGGATGGGTCTGGGGTAACTAACCTCCCACAGGATGGGTCTGGGGTAACTACCTCCCACAGGATGGTCTGGGGTAACTACCTCCCACAGGATGGGTCTGGGGTAACTACCTCCCACAGGATGGGTCTGGGGTAACTACCTCCCACAGGATGGGTCTGGGGTAACTACCTCCCACAGGATGGGTCTGGGGTAACTACCTCCCACAGGATGGGTCTGGGGTAACTACCTCCCACAGGATGGGTCTGGGGTAACCACCTCCCACAGGATGGGTCTGGGGTAACTACCTCCCACAGGATGGGTCTGGGGTAACTACCTCCCACAGGATGGATCTGGGGTAACTACCTCCCACAGGATGGATCTGGGGTAACTACCTCCCACAGGATGGGTCTGGGGTAACTACCTCCCACAGGATGGGTCTGGGGTAACTACCTCCCACAGGATGGGTCTGGGGTAACCACCTCCCACAGGATGGGTCTGGGGTAACTACCTCCCACAGGATGGGTCTGGGGTAACTACCTCCCACAGGATGGGTCTGGGGTAACTACCTCCCACAGGATGGGTCTGGCGTAACTACCTCCCACAGGATGGGTCTGGGGTAACTACCTCCCACAGGATGGGGTCTGGGGTAACTACCTCCCACAGGATGGGTCTGGGGTAACTACCTCCCACAGGATGGGTCTGGGGTAACTACCTCCCACAGGATGGGTCTGGGGTAACTACCTCCCACAGGATGGGTCTGGGGTAACTACCTCCCACAGGATGGGTCTGGGGTAACTACCTCCCACAGGATGGGTCTGGGGTAACTACCTCCCACAGGATGGGTCTGGGGTAACCACCTCCCACAGGATGGGTCTCGGGTAACCACCTCCCACAGGATGGGTCTGGGGTAACCACCTCCCACAGGATGTGTCTGGGGTAACTACCTCCCACAGGATGTGTCTGGGGTAACTACCTCCCACAGGATGTGTCTGGGGTAACTACCTCCCACAGGATGGGTCTGGGGTAACCACCTCCCACAGGATGGGTCTGGGGTAACCACCTCCCACAGGATGGGTCTGGGGTAACCACCTCCCACAGGATGGGTCTGGGGTAACCACCTCCCACAGGATGGGTCTGGGGTAACCACCTCCCACAGGATGGGTCTGGGGTAACCACCTCCCACAGGATGGGTCTGGGGTAACCACCTCCCACAGGATGGGTCTGGGGTAACCACCTCCCACAGGATGGGTCTGGGGTAACCACCTCCCACAGGATGGGTATGTGATGCATAATAAGGCTTTCAGAGTATTGAACTCTCACGGATTTACCGCTTGTGATGAGGAGTAAGGTAGGGGAATTACCAGTAGGCCTCTGGCTGCCTTCAAGAGGTACCTGGAGGTGCCGAATCAGCCGGGCTGTGGTTCTTACGTTGGACTACGTGCGGCCAGCAGTAACAGCTTGGTTGATCAGGCCCTGATCCACCGGGAGGCCTGGTCGTGGACCGGGCCGCGGGGGCGTTGATCCCCGGAATACCCTACAGGTAGACTCCAGGAAGAGGACGCACGGTGGCCAGCGACTACAGTAGTCGTTCTGAGAGTTATCGTAAAGGACGCACGGTGGCCAGCGACTACAGTAGTCGTTCTGAGAGTTATCGTGAAGGACGCACGGTGGCCAGCGACTACAATAGTCGTTCTGAGAGTTATCGTAGAGGACGCACGGTGGCCAGCGACTACAATAGTCGTTCTGAGAGTTATCGTAGAGGACGCACGGTGGCCAGCGACTACAGTAGTCGTGGACCTCTCAATTTTCTCCCTCCCACGAACACTTGTTAATGCTGCGTCCGTTTCCCTGCATGCTGGCTTCACTCATGCAGCGACCCGCTGGAATCCGCAACGTTTTTTTTTATAGGTAGTTGCTGCTTATGAATGCTAGAGGTGTGAGGTGAGGCTGTGTTGTGTGGGGCTGGGCTGTCATCGCCTTTCCAACTGATGTTTTGGTAATGAACTCACACATATCTTGACTTCGCCTTCCTCAACATGTACATCCCTGCAACGAGTCACATCTGTTGAACTTTTTGTTTTTTTTTGCCGTATTCAGTTGCAAAAAAAAAAAAGGAGAGCCACTTTGCCAAAATATGGAGATATCTTACCCATTTTTCTTTTTTTTCAGCCTGAGGTCGTGGCCAGAGTGACGGGTCAGAACGGAGCTCTGCAATAAACGGTTGACCTCTGGGGATGCCTGTGTCCCTATGGGTGAGTGACCTGCACTCCGCCTCCTTTTGTGTTTTTGTTTCTTTTATATTGCGATATTTTCTGGGTAGTTAAGTTGGAGGGGAACATGTAACAATGTTATGGCTTGAGGAATTCCCCGTGCTTGGTGAGTGACGTGAGAAACTGTGTGAAGTGTGGCAGCCTAGTCTTCTGGAAAGACAATTATTTATAGTTCAGGACATTTATTAGAAGACATTTATCGGTATTTATTAAAAACTACAAAAAATGTTCATTAATAATGATCAGTATAATTTTTAAAGGGGTGGACCGATAAGCCAGTGGAATGTGTCGGTCAGATGACCAAAAGCTCCAGCTGCAGGTCATCATAAGACTAAGACTCCCGTCAGGAAACATGTCCTGGTTCCTCACAAACCTTACCTAACCTAACCTCTAATAAACGTCCTAAACTGCACCATACCATTGTTAGGGGGATAGTCTTGTTGCAAGTGTTGTGTTGACTGTTGAGTTCTTGTTGGTGCTCCCAGGCGCTTACTCTACTTAGAATCCATCACTACCTACTGATGCTACAGCTTACGGCTCACAGCTGAAAGGATTTGATTTCAGTCCCCAGACAAGGCGGAATGTATGAATGTATCAGCACCCGGTGGTGGTGTTGATGTAGTGATGTTGTGGGTGCACACGCTGCTAGGAGACATGACACGCTGCTAGGAGACATGATTGTATCAACACCCAGTGTTGATGTAGTGATGTTGTGGGTGCACACGCTGCTAGGAGACATGACACGCTGCTAGGAGACATGATTGTATCAACACCCAGTGTTGATGTAGTGATGTTGTGGGTGCACACGCTGCTAGGAGACATGACACGCTGCTAGGAGACATGATTGTATCAACACCCAGTGTTGATGTAGTGATGTTGTGGGTGCACACGCTGCTAGGAGACATGACACGCTGCTAGGAGACATGATTGTATCAACACCCAGTGTTGATGTAGTGATGTTGTGGGTGCACACGCTGCTAGGAGACATGACACGCTGCTAGGAGACATGATTGTATCAACACCCAGTGTTGATGTAGTGATGTTGTGGGTGCACACGCTGCTAGGAGACATGACACGCTGCTAGGAGACATGATTGTATCAACACCCAGTGTTGATGTAGTGATGTTGTGGGTGCACACGCTGCTAGGAGACATGACACGCTGCTAGGAGACATGATTGTATCAACACCCAGTGTTGATGTAGTGATGTTGTGGGTGCACACGCTGCTAGGAGACATGACACGCTGCTAGGAGACATGATTGTATCAACACCCAGTGTTGATGTAGTGATGTTGTGGGTGCACACGCTGCTAGGAGACATGACACGCTGCTAGGAGACATGATTGTATCAACACCCAGTGTTGATGTAGTGATGTTGTGGGTGCACACGCTGCTAGGAGACATGACACGCTGCTAGGAGACATGATTGTATCAACACCCAGTGTTGATGTAGTGATGTTGTGGGTGCACACGCTGCTAGGAGACATGACACGCTGCTAGGAGACATGATTGTATCAACACCCAGTGTTGATGTAGTGATGTTGTGGGTGCACACGCTGCTAGGAGACATGACACGCTGCTAGGAGACATGATTGTATCAACACCCAGTGTTGATGTAGTGATGTGGGTGCACACGCTGCTAGGAGACATGACACGCTGCTAGGAGACATGATTGTATCAACACCCAGTGATGTAGTGATGTGGGTGCACACGCTGCTAGGAGACATGACACGCTGCTAGGAGACATGATTGTATCAACACCCAGTGTTGATGTAGTGATGTTGTGGATGCACAAGCTGCTAGGAGACATGACACGCTGCTAGGAGACATGACACGCTGCTAGGAGACATGAATGTATCAACACCCAGTGTTGATGTAGTGATGTTGTGGGTGCACACGCTGCTAGGAGACATGACACGCTGCTAGGAGACATGACACGCTGCTAGGAGACATGACACAAGAGGATCCTAACAAGTATATCACACTGCTGGACTTTCCTGCATTATCTTGGAGTAATAATACCTTCTTCTTTTCTTATTTCTTCTTTTTCTTCTTCTTCTTCTTCTGCTGCTTCTTTTTGTTCTCCTCTTTTCTTCTTCTCAGCGCTGTATAACCCTAGTGGGTTTAGCGTTTTTTGATAATTATTTTCTCTTCTCTTTTCTTCTTCTACTTCGTCTGTTGAACGGTTGTGTACTTGGTTATTCTGTTGAACGGTTGTGTACTTGGTTATTCTGTTGAACAGTTGTGTACTTGGTTATTCTGTTGAACAGTTGTGTACTTGGTTATTCTGTTGAACAGTTGTGTACTTCGTTATTCTGTTGAACAGTTGTGTACTTGGTTATTCTGTTGAACAGTTGTGTACTTGGTTATTCTGTTGAACAGTTGTGTACTTGGTTATTCTGTTGAACGGTTGTGTACTTGGTTATTCTGTTGAACGGTTGTGTACTTGGTTATTCTGTTGAACAGTTGTGTACTTGGTTATTCTGTTGAACGGTTGTGTACTTGGTTATTCTGTTGAACAGTTGTGTACTTGGTTATTCTGTTGAACAGATGTGTACTTGGTTATTCTGTTCAACGGTTGTGTACTTGGTTGTTCTGTTGACCATTATGTACTTGGCTGTTTTGTTGAAACAGTCTTATTGTATTTAAATTAAGTTACATTTTCAGTGTAACTTGTTCATCTTAGTTCAATGATCACCTTAGTTCAATGATCATCTGCACTCTTGCACAGTCCAGAGTTCACTTTCATCATGTCCGCCATACTGTGTCTGGAATACTGTTGATTATATCAGCAGTGTGCTGTTACCTGGGAGTAGGTGGGGGGGAGGGGGAAGGAGACGTTGTTTTTGTTGGTCGTGGTGTACTCACCTAATTGTGGTTGCAAGGGTCGATACTCAGCTCCTGGCCCTGCAGGTGTGTGTTGTTTGTGTTGTTGTTGGTGTTTGTTGTGAGTGTTGGTGTTGGTGGTAGTACTGGTGTTGGTTGTGGTGGTGGTGTGTATTACTGGTGATGGTGGTGATTGTGATGGTGGTATGTGTTGTTGGTGATAGAGGTGTTGTTGTTCGGGGTGGTGGTGGTGTTATTATTGTTGGTGGTTGTTGTTGTGTTGTTGCTGTTGTTGTTGGTGGTGGTGGTGGAGGGGGTGGTGTTGGAGATGAGGTGGAGAAGAGATAGACGTCTGGTGGAAGATAGTTACTATCGTTATACTTACATGGTTCTATCATTGCCCGGTTGTATTATACTGGTCATTACACGGCCCGATTGAAGGGAGAGAAAGCATGGAGGGGGTGAAGGTAGAGTGGAGGAAGGAGGGGGAGGTGATAGTGATAACAGTGTTATCTTCCCTGGTGGAGTGATAACAGTATTATCTTCCCTGGTGGAGTGATAACAGTGTTATCTTCCCTGGTGGAGTGATAACAGTGTTATCTTCCCTGGTGGAGTGATAACAGTGTTATCTTCCCTGGTGGAGTGATAACAGTGTTATCTTCCCTGGTGGAGTGATAACAGTATTATCTTCCCTGGTGGAGTGATAACAGTGTTATCTTCCCTGGTGGAGTGATAACAGCGTTATCTTCCCTGGTGGAGTGATAACAGTGTTATCTTCCCTGGTGGAGTGATAACAGTGTTATCTTCCCTGGTGGAGTGATAACAGTGTTATCTTCCTGGTGGAGTGATAACAGTGTTATCTTCCCTGGTGGAGTGATAACAGCGTTATCTTCCCTGGTGGAGTGATAACAGTGTTATCTTCCCTGGTGGAGTGATAACAGCGTTATCTTCCCTGGTGGAGTGATAGTGTTATCTTCCCTGGTGGCGTGATAACAGTGTTATCTTCCCTGGTGGAGTGATAACAGTATTATCTTCCCTGGTGGAGTGATAACAGTATTATCTTCCCTGGTGGAGTGATAACAGTGTTATCTTCCCTGGTGGCGTGATAACAGTGTTATCTTCCCTGGTGGAGTGATAACAGTGTTATCTTCCCTGGTGGAGTGATAACAGTATTATCTTCCCTGGTGGAGTGATAACAGTGTTATCTTCCCTGGTGGAGTGATAACAGCGTTATCTTCCCTGGTGGAGTGATAACAGTGTTATCTTCCCTGGTGGAGTGATAACAGTATTATCTTCCCTGGTGGAGTGATAACAGTGTTATCTTCCCTGGTGGAGTGATAGTGTTATCTTCCCTGGTGGCGTGATAACAGTGTTATCTTCCCTGGTGGAGTGATAACAGTGTTATCTTCCCTGGTGGAGTGATAACAGCGTTATCTTCCCTGGTGGAGTGATAACAGTGTTATCTTCCCTGGTGGAGTGATAACAGTATTATCTTCCCGGGTGGAGTGATAACAGTGTTATCTTCCCTGGTGGAGTGATAACAGTGTTATCTTCCCTGGTGGAGTGATAACAGTGTTATCTTCCCTGGTGGAGTGATAACAGTGTTATCTTCCCTGGTGGAGTGATAACAGTGTTATCTTCCTGGTGGAGTGATAACAGTGTTATCTTCCCTGGTGGAGTGATAACAGTGTTATCTTCCCTGGTGGAGTGATAACAGCGTTATCTTCCCTGGTGGAGTGATAACAGTGTTATCTTCCCTGGTGGAGTGATAACAGTATTATCTTCCCTGGTGGAGTGATAACAGTGTTATCTTCCCGGGTGGAGTGATAACAGTGTTATCTTCCCTGGTGGAGTGATAACAGTATTATCTTCCCTGGTGGAGTGATAACAGCATTATCTTCCCTGGTGGAGTGATAACAGTGTTATCTTCCCTGGTGGAGTGATAACAGTGTTATCTTCCCTGGTGGAGTGATAACAGTGTTATCTTCCCTGGTGGAGTGATAAGTGTTATCTTCCCTGGTGGAGTGATAACAGTGTTATCTTCCCTGGTGGAGTGATAGTGTTATCTTCCCTGGTGGCATGATAACAGTGTTATCTTCCCTGGTGGCGTGATAACAGTGTTATCTTCCCTGGTGGAGTGATAACAGTGTTATCTTC